TGTGTCTAGGCTGTAGTGTAGTTGAGTCTAGGTTTGAGTCTAGACATTTTGGGTTTGTGTTGGTCTCAGGGAGAGACCTGGGGTTTAGAGTCTTTGCTTGTTGCATCCCTTTTGCATTGCATTGTTGTTATTGCATAGTAGTTATTGCATTGTTGATTGTTGCTATTGCTCTTGTGTTTGAGCATGGGCTAAGGGGGGGCTTGTTGTTGTTGTTGTTTTTGGGAACTCGCTGAGTAATCTATGATTACTCATTCCCCCTTTACTATGCAGGTAACCTTAGAACGGAAGGGGCGTTTTGCGGGGTGTGGAGGACGAGGCCAGGCGTAGACTTCCGGTGTTGTTTTGCAAAGGACGAAGATCTTGTTTTCTCTTGTTTTGTTTTTATGGGTACCCCTTTTTCTCGTGTTTATGTACGTTGTTGTATTTATGAACTTAAGTCGAGTTCCAACTCTGATTATTTATAAAAAGATGTTTTATTAAAATCCCCGTGGAACGCTGATATAGAGTTTAGTCTGAACTTAACACAACTCTTAACCAAAGTACGGGTCAGCGCTGGCCTTAGGCTGAGGTTGAGAGGGACGGTATTGTGGTTGGGCTGGTCGAGACTTTGATTTGTTTAAAGTTTTGATTGGACCGACTGCGATGCTCGTCTAACTATAACGCTTCCGGGTCGTCCCGGGTTAGTCCGGCCTAGGACGGTTCGGGGGTGTTACACATGAGCTGTCTTCCAAAAGCTTACCTTTTTCAAGAATTTCATCTGCCAATCTTGACAATCTATCACTGCATCGATTCATAGACAGTTCAAATCGTAAGCTATCAATCTCTCTTATGCATAGATCGATAGCCATCCACCTAGACATAAGTGATACTTCTTTTGGGACCTGGAAATATATTGATAAAAGACAATCGTGTCTGAGCAAGTTAATCCTCATATCTCTCTATAAACAGTCAAACAGTTAGCCTATCTTAAATAATGTAAAACTCCCAGGAAACGCTCAAATTCCCACCCATACATAGATTATTCTGGGGAATAGTAAAACAGCTCACATTTGCCGTGACATTTGGATTCCCATCTCTGTCGCCACCCATCCCGGAACCAAACTTTATTGGGGTGCAATTTAATGGGAGTGGCTTCCCCGTTAACTAAAAGAAGGCATATAGAATAACATATGTTCAATATCAAGTCACTTATACATTCACAGTGTGCATATAAATGAGAAAAATAGGTAAGACTTTCTTCAAAGAACTGTTGACACGACGCAAGTAATGTGGTACAGCTTTCCAAAGGGATTTCTCAACAATGTTCAAACCCTTGGTTTATCAAATAAGAGTTCATTACAAATGTTTAATGAGAATACCAGCCCTAGTTTCATCAACATGAGTAGGTTTCTGACGTCTAAGTTCATCAATCTGCCACAGTGAAGTTATCTCCCTCACCTTTTAAACGAAATAGAATTATTAGATGCAAGGCTTAAGCAGAGAAATTCTAAGTAAGGTTGTGGAAGACAGTACCAGATCCTCAATGACAGTTTCTCGATCTTCAAATCCAAGGTCTTGTCTATCGTTATATTCTAGAAGATGCTGCAAAATGTACAAAGACTATAACCCTAAAGCTGCTTGCAAACGAGATATATCAATCAATTTTCAGCATTAATGATAACTTACAGCCATCTTGATATGTTTGTACTGCAAGTTTCTGCGGTTAACATGAGTGGGGTGTGCAGTAAGAACAATTTCAACCCCCTGCATTTGATAAATTACTTAGAAAACAAGTACCAGACTAAGGACAAGCAACGATAACGACTTAAACATTATTCATTCTTGTGCATGTCAACAATGGCTAACCTGTGATGAGTTTCAGAAATTCCCATCAAATTAAGAAAGTGGCTAAAGGCACGAGCCATCGTCAATGCTTCCTCCAGTGACATGTTTGATATTTCGGAAGTCAGTTGCATCTCCAAAAGCTCTGCCGTGTCTTCAATACCAGCCAGACGAAGATTTAACGCACTCTGAAACGTAAAAAAGCCAAACCAAAATAGTATCATCACACAGCTTTTTACACGTTATCTACCATGTCGCAAGAATATATAAATATGCAGTTAAAAGACTTCGTCGTAAGATTCAAGAATCCAGCCAGGAAAACATACATAATCCAGATCTAAAACGAATCCATCCAGAAAGCTACAAAAAAACAGTATTCTTCAAACCTTTTTTGATCCGTGAGGATTCTCAACAGTGCAAAACAAACACAAACACAACGAAATACTGAAGAGCAACCAAGCACGTTTCGTAAACCACAAGCGATTCAAGTAAGACTTCTCCTAGCGATTACGATTGATCGCAATCTATAGAAATCATTTTTCAGAGCGATCGGAGTGAACGTAAGTTTGCCGATTCCCAAACAAAAGACACAAAAAATCACAGAGGAGCTTTTCTGAAGTGGGAGAGAAGCAAGAACCTGAGCAAGAACGCGAGTCCGTTCGATTTTCTCCATGAAATCGGAGCCGACTTCTCTCAGCAAGACGTCGTTGAAGAGACTGCCGAGCAGCTTGCAGTCATCTTCGAAGCTCTGGAACGAAATCTCCTCCGCGATATCGTCCGTCGTATCCGTCATCGGAAAGATTACTTTGACCGTTGAGTAGACCTTTGGAAAAGGAAAACAGTGTGGAGAGTGTGAAGGAGAGAGAGACTCTCTGTTTGCTGTGAAGAATGCCGTACACTCTAGCGATATATATGTCTGTTAGAAGTGGGTCCTACATACATTGTTTACTCTCTCAAATGACGACACGTCACAATTTTTAGCAACTGAAACTGGCGGTGGCAATACTATGGGACTTATTCTTGGTTTCACCCCCTCCAATAGGATTGCATTATTTCATATTTGATATCCTTTTAAAAAGGAAACAAAATCTTATTAATTTATATTATGTTTTTAAAAAAAAAAAAAATACAAAATAAATAAATAAATAGAAAATTAATAAAAATGAAAATAATTCTTTTAAAGAAAATATTTTAACACTAAACCCTAAACTATAATCCCAAACCCTAAATCCATGGTTAAATCATAAACCTTTAGATAAATCTTATAGTGTTTTAAAAATTTAATGTTTTAAAAATTTAATGTTTATGATTTACCCAAAGGTTTAGGGTTTAGGATTAGAGTTTAGGATTTAGTGTTTATGATTTACCCAAGGGTTTACGGTGTAGGATTAGATTTAAGGGTTTAGTGTTAAAATATTTTTTTTAAAGAACTTTTTTTTTTTATAAAAGTTATCCAAAGGTTTATGATTTACCCAGGGGTTAGAGTTTAGGGTTTAGTGTTAAAATATTTTCTTTAAAAAAAGATCATTTTCTTTTTTTTTTAATTATATTATTATTTTATTTATTTTTGTATTTTTATTTTTAAAAGCATAATATAATTTAACAAGATTTTGTTTTCTTTTTTGAAAGATATCAAATATGAAATAGTGAAATCCTATTGGATGGTCCTTGGGAGTGAACCCAAGAATAACTCATACTATGGGGAGATTTAATTTGCTAATTCTAGTTTATTAATCAATAAACATTTAAGAATTGTTTTATTGATGATTCTATAACCAGTAATTTTATCTGGTTTATGAAAATTTCATGTATAACAGTTTCATTTGATATTCTTATGAGCTATTTTACAATCAATAATTTTTATCAGTCTTATAAAAATTTATGTTTAACAGTTTTACTAATATGAGCTGCTCTATGAAAATTCAAGTCATAGCAACTATATATCTATCATGATATTTACTATAATTTCCCATTGATCTAAACAACTAATAATAAATATTTTTCTGAGATTTAAAATCCAAATTTCATGTTACAAAAACGTTCATTTGTTTCTCCTGATCCCAATTTTGCAGAATTTTTCAACTTACTGTTGAAGTAAGCTTGAGGAAAGCTTGAGCGAGAAGTTATCCTAATCTTATTTAAGTATGAGATAAGTATTGAGAAGATTTAGGAGTTATCTAAATCTATGAGTTTCAATAGGATTAGGATGACTTAAGTTATATATATAGATATCATGAGTTGATATCAAACGTGTGATTTCGAGTTGTGTGAGTTTGAGGTTTTGAGCTATTTTCCTCAGAGATTAATAAGAGAGCTTTCTTGTTTGCGAGTTAACTTTGTGTTCAAGTTCTATTATTGTTGAGATTGTGAAACCGATTATTCAATAATTGGTATCAGAGCTTACGATGGGGGATCTTGTGGTGTCTACGGCAAAACTAAAGGAGGGTGGATCTTCTATCAAGTGTCCCATATTAAACTCAACTAATTAGACTGTATGGGCCATGAGAATGAAGATTTTACTAAAGGTACATGAAGTCTGGGAAACCATTGAAACAGAGGATGCTGATGTGAAGAAGAACAATATGGCGATAGCTTTGTTGTTTCAAGGAATCCCAGAAGCACTTATACTACAAGTAGGAGAGTTGAACATAGCAAAGAAGGTTTGGGAGGCGGTCAAGATGAGACATGTAGGAGCAGAACTTGTGAAGGAAGCTAGGTTACAGACTTTACTTTCTGATTTTGATTGTCTCAGTATGAAGGAGACAGAATCAATAGACGATTTTGCAGGGAGAATCTCTGAGATATCTTCCAAATCTGCAGCATTGGGAGAAGAGATAAATGAGCCGAAGCTTGTTAAGAAGTTTCTGAGTAGTCTTCCGAGGAAGAAATATATTCATATTGTGGCTGCACTTGAGCAAGTTTTGGATCTTAAAGACACGAGTTTTGAGGATATTGTTGGTCGTATGAAGGCATACGAGGAGCGAGTGTGTGATCAAGAAGAGCCACAGGAGGATCAGAGCAAACTAATGTATGCTAATAGTGAGTCACAATCAAACCGAAACTACAATAACAATTACAATAGTAATTACCGAGGCAGAGGACGCGGAGGACGATTTCAGAACAGAGGAAGAGGCCGTGGAAGAAACAATGAGACTAGAGATGCTTCTCATGTAACATGTTTCCGCTGCGACAAGATAGGACACTTTGCTCAGAATTGTCCAGACAGATTACTTAAGCTACAAGAAGCTCAAGAAGATGATAACAAAAGTACGCAGGAAGCAGATGAGCTTATGATGCACGAGATAGGAGATTTTGTGCAAATTTGTAAGAAAAATACGCAAGAAACAGGTGAGTTTATGATGCACGAGGTTGTACATCTAAACGAAGGAAAGGTTGTACCGAATGATTACCATGAGAGAGATGAAGACAACAGTGTTTGGTATCTGGACAATGGGGCAAGCAACCACATGAGCGGAGACAAGAGATATTTCTCAGAGATCGATAGCTCGATCACAGGGAAAGTTCGTTTTGGTGATGACTCTCGAATTGACATCAAAGGAAAAGGAACGATTGAGTTTACAGATAGGAATGGAGAAGTAAGAAAGATGACAGAGGTATACTATATTCCGGATCTTAAGAGTAACATCATCAGCTTAGGACAAGCTACCGAAGCCGGATGTGATGTAAGACTGAGAGGAGAACATCTGATAATGCATGATCGAGATGGAAAGTTGATAGCAAAAGCAGTCAGATCAAGAAATAGACTCTACAAAGTGCGAATGGGATTGAAAGAGACTATGTGCTACCTATCTACTGAGCTCAGTGAATCAAGTCGTTGGCATGGGAGACTAGGCCACATAAACTACGAGACGATGAGATCTATGATGTCACGAGAGCTAGTCATGGGAGTTCCACACATGGAGGTTGAGAAGAATATTTGCGGTTCTTGCTTACTTGGGAAACAAGCTAGACAGACGTTTCCTAAGGCAACAAACTATCGTGCAACTGAGATACTTGAACTCATTCACGGTGACCTTTGTGGCCCTATAACACCAAAGACAAGTGCAGGAAACAGATATATCTTCGTATTGATAGATGACTTATCAAGATATATGTGGACTGTTCTGCTTAAGAATAAAGACGAAGCTTTTGGGAAATTTGTCAACTTCAAGCGACTAGTAGAGCAAGAGAAGAAGATGCGCATACAAACGTTTAGAACGGATAGAGGAGGAGAATTTGTGTCCTTTGAGTTCAGCAAATTCTGTGATGAGGAAGGTATAAGGCGAAATCTCACGGCTCCATATAGTCCTCAGCAAAATGGCGTTGTAGAGAGACGGAATAGGACTTTGATGGAGATGACTAGGAGCATAATGAAGCATATGTCAGTACCAAATTATCTCTGGGGTGAGGCGGTAAGGCACTCCACCTATCTTCTGAACAGAGTAGCCACGAGAGTGGTTAAAGATCAGACTCCATATGAAGCCTATCATGGAAGAAAGCCTAATATTGGTCCTCTGAGGATCTTTGGGTGTGTAGGGTATGCGAAGATAGATGGAAAGTTTTTGAAGAAACTAGATGATAGATCACGAGTACTGGTTCATCTTGGAACAGAACCAGGCTCAAAGGCCTATCGGATGTTTGATCCTCAATCACAGAGAGTAATAGTGAGCAGAGACGTTGTCTTTGATGAGTCGAAAGGCTGGAACTGGGGTATGAGAAAGGAAGATCAAGCTAGTGCAGGAGACTTTAAGATTGAGATTGAAGAGTTTGGAAATCGTGGGATACAAGAAACAGAGCCTGAGACAAAAGAAGTCAAACCAGAAAGTGAAGAAAATCTGTTAGAAGATAATCATGAAACAGAAAGTGGAGATGACAATGATGAGACTACAGATGAGGAACCATTAGTACTACGAAGGTCTGAACATGTCACTTCAAAGCCGAAGTACTTAGACGACTATGTATTACTGTCTGAAGAAGAAGGAGAGCTGCTACTTATGTGCTTGAATGAAGAACCACTGAATTTTGAGGAGGCTAAAGAGCATAGAGAGTGGATAAAGGCGTGTGAAGCTGAGATTGAGTCTATTACTAGACTCAAGTCGTGGAGTCTTGTTGATTTACCTCATGGTGCAAAAGCCATAGGTTTGAAGTGGGTATTTAAGCTCAAAAGAAATGCTGATGGAAGTATCAACAAGTATAAGTCTCGGCTAGTTGCGAAGGGATATGTTCAACGCTATGGGATAGATTATGAGGAAGTATTTGCGCTGGTGGCCCGGATCGAAACCATACGGTTTCTCATTAATCTTGCTGCAACAAGGGGTTGGGAAATACATCATTTGGATGTTAAGACAGCTTTTCTCCATGGAGAGCTGAAAGAAACTGTGTACGTAACACAGCCAGAAGGATTTGAGGTTAAAGGGAGTGAGCACAAAGTCTATAAGTTACATAAGGCTTTGTACGGGTTAAAACAGGTACCGAGGGCATGGAACGATAAGCTGAACATGATCTTGGTGGAACTTGGTGTTACAAGGTGTCTGAAGGAGCCTTCAGTTTACAGAAGAGAGACGAGTGAAGGTTTACTTGTGGTTGCTGTATATGTGGACGATCTCTTTGTCACAGGAGCTTGTATGAAGATTATAGGTGAATTTAAGTGTGAGATGTCCACAAAGTTTGAGATGAGTGATCTCGGGAGGTTGAGTTACTATCTTGGTATTGAAGTCTTACAGCATAATGGTGGAATCACATTGAACCAGAAGCGTTATGCCTTGAAGATATTGGAGGAAGCCGGCATGAAAG